GTGACATTGCCTCTTTAGTACTTTCAACTTGCGAACGGAACGTCTAATTTGTAACCTCAAGGTCTTCTCAATCTCTATATCTGCGATTTGGGGCACCCTAAACATTTCTACCTAAGGTAGTACACGCGATATGGGAAACCCTGAGGATAATGATTGGGCCTTTGGGCAAGTGATTTCACTCGTTCTTTTGTCTAGTCCCTTAACCCAACTATTTGAGGTGGCGTACAAGACCGCTCGCCCCTGGAATTCCCGTCGACAAACACCATCGGGCATCCGCGTATCTCGTCCAGACACTCCTGGCTCGACCCCTGGTTCATGTAGGAATCCCTGCGAAATTCTTCTCGGGACGCTTAAAATAACAATGATAGCCATTGAAATGTTGGCATCATCAACTACAAGTCGTCCTAGTGGCCCACTGGCCTCCGATAGAATCCGCCATGGAGGTTCGCAGAGCAATGGTGTATACAACCAAACTGGTGAGATATCTCAGTCCGACCAACGTATGTTAAAGCGCATTCTTGAACTTGTCATAAGGTGTAATCAAAACTGAACAATCTTAGAACAAGCTGAAACAAATGCCGTGCCGCCGCCCTTCAATCAAACGTTTACTTTCCACATGCATGGGCAGAATGACCTTGACCAGGTCGAAAACGCTCAGTCGTACCTTACAGCGCAACTCATCATCACCCAACTACTTAACGAGGCCCATTTCGATCGTAAGGAAATATGGAACGATTCCTTACTATTCGTCATAGCAGCACCGATATTCTCCATACTTGCTTCATTCTTCATCAATATCTATACGCTCGAGGATGCGCCATTCATAGGGTTTGAGAATTACATTGCAAAAGTTCTGATCACTGCTGCTTTTCTACCACTTCAAATTCAAATGTACATCTTTTTCATTTTTCATGTACATCGTTTCGAATTTGAAAAAGGGATAAAGTGGCCGAGGATCACGGGGGCAACAATGTCAGTGCTATCGAGTTCTATGATTTCCGGATATTTGAACCACTACTTTGGGACGGTGGTGGCATGCTTAGCCATTGGTGCAATGTGCGGGCTGCAGTTAATGACAATCCTGGTAACCACATCGCTTAGGATGTGGTCCCTACGCGGCCGTTAAGTCCGCCATCATGAGAACAGAGGAAGTCTAGCAATCCGAAATACTCATCGAAAGGACATTCAGTGTGCGTGTTGCCTTTGTGATAGACACTAGGCAGTCGTGGGTCTAAGGCTTGATATATGTCCACCTGGCTGTCTCACTTTTGAACCTTTCGATGATTTTTAGCAAGGCGACAGTTGTAGTGAGGCGTGAATTGTAAGTCAGCAGGTCTTCGCTCTTCCTACAATCACCTTGATCACAATACTGCCTAGGGACGTGCCCCTTAATCACATGAAACTCCTCTACTTTTGAGTCACTACGTCACGTTGTCGAAGAGAGTTTCATAAGACAATCATTCATTTCCTCATACTCTTGGGCAATTGTCGTAGCTTACGCCACATCATACCGGACAATGTTGGAAAAGAAACCAGACCGCTGGCGCCGAGTGAGCGTGCTGCTGTTGAGCTTGTTCCGATAACCCGTGCGTTGACATTATGTTGGGCCACATAAGGTTGCCTCCCGATTCCTCAGATCTAGCAGTAGAGTCTAACCAGCAGCACAGTGCTCGGGTGGAGCGGAGATGCCGCATGGCATAATCCTGGAGTTCGGATCCGGACCAGAGCCGCTGACACAGTTCCGAGGAAGGACATCGGCAGGTATCAAGATTGAGGTGCAATTCAGCACTCACATACTCGCACCCTCACATTCTGAACGTAAGTACGCATCGGCTTCACGAGTAACACGATAGGGTCCTGCGACATTCATCCGCTTCCTGCGCATCTGTATGCAGGCGAAAACTTGGGTCTGCTTGGACACCGGTTTCATCTCTCTTCATCCAGGAACAGCACTCTCGCGGGAGGACGTAGTCCGAAGACAATCCAGACAGACGCGGGGCACTGGAGAAAATGAGATCAGACCAAGATGAGTGCTGCAACAGATGAATCTAGGTTCCGAGCCAGCCTCTCTAGGTCAGAGCGGAGCATCGTGGGGTCCTCTTTGCGACCCGGGCTGCAGGTGTCACATCTGATGAATCAGAGATATCCTGCTTCGACGGTGTACCATATCTCAGGCTTGACGTATCCCCAGATACATCTGGACCCCCCGTGACAGGGTAAGCCACATGCGTTTTTCTGCCAAACCTGTGCTTGATGCCTCGTTAGCTGGGGGTAGTTCGTTCTGACACGGTCCACACAGCGACCTAATTGTCAAGCTTAGTAGTGCGACACGAGTCGGTGATTCAGATGATAGAAAAAAGATCAGAAAGTGAGGGGATCCGCGACGACAAGAGCCATCAAGGCTCCTGAAAGCCCCTCGCGAACCCCTCCTCTTGTCGATCTCAAACTGCTTCAAGGCTGGCACTTTAGATCGCAAACTGAGTTTGAAGCAGTGTTTGCTAGGTACGATACCCGTTGCCGGCTGTTGCGAGCATCACACACAGGCGATCGACCTCTTCACTGGCTGGTCTTATTGATGTCAGTTAACCCCTGCTCGGCGAAGGAAGCTTAAACAATCCACTTGGCGTAAAGCTTGGCGTAAAATGTGGAGATTGACTCGAGATCCTTGAAGAGGCTGACTTGGGCGTTGTTGGAATGTCTGTGTCAGTGACGATCATGCAGGTGGGTAGGGTTGGTGCTTCATGCGGGCATGAAAGCCGTTTTGAGGGCGGAGACCCGTGCCAATGTCCAGCTTTGCTCGTTTCACTCGGACCTGGCATTGTAGTGTCAAACTCCGAGCGACAGCCACTGCAGCAAAGAGGAGGAGCAAAACAATTCGAATATGCTTGGCGACGCTACCGGTATCGTGAGACCCAGGCAAAGCGAGGGGGGTCGGGCGAGGCTGGCTGATAGCCCACGTCATTTCCGTCTCGCAATAGGCCCCATCGATACCAGACAGCGCTGACGGGCTTGGAGGGTTCAGACCGCCGATGATACTCGAAGCGGAACGAGTCGAACTGGGGGCGAGTCAATCCAAGTGTGAAAAGTAGATGCCGAGTCTGTCAGCATTGAGTGAGAAAAGGAGTAGAGTTGGAGATTGTGTGCCGAATGCCGAGAGTGCCGGAAGGCAAATGTTGGGCCAGGGGTCGGGAGCATCGAGGTGTGTGGGTGGTCCAGAGAGAACGAGAACGAGGCAGGAACTCAACCGTCAGCCTCGCTGGAAGGAGGACGTTGAGCCAAGATTTAGATGGGCTGATGACGGGAAGATAAATGCGAGATGCTTGAACTCTTTAAGCTTGAACTGGGGAGCGAAATATGGTTGATTAGGGATTTTGAGTATGATGAATCAAAGACAGGTGATCTGTAAACATAATCGTACGATTTTGACGCGCAAGACCGCATGGATGGGCTCATGGAATGCTTCTTTGCTGGGAGGTGTGAGCGTCTGACACGCTGCGCAGAAGGGAGGACATGGAAGCAGAGAGACTCTGGGCCAAGAACGCAGTGTCATTGGACTAGAGGGCTGCACATGGCTTAGACTTCCCGCTAGAGCAATCGACAGCCATCAAGCAGCCATGATCCATCTGAAGGATTCAGGGATAGACAGGGGAAGGGTGAGACGGGGGCGGATGGCAGGATAACGACGCTGCCTGGGTGCGAACCTTGCTCGGGCGACAGGTGGGTTGGGTCATGGATGGAATCAAGATACGTAGGCTGACAGGTATTGACACTGTTGAGTAGGGTTTGGGCGGGCTTGTGTATCAAGCTAGAGGTAGCATGGCGTTCTATGGTTCCTGGCGTAAGTTGTGAGGGAGAGAGTGAAGTGCGGGCTGGCAGAGAGCGAGCCGCGAACGTGCTGAAGGTTTCATGACGGGGATAAAGTGTGGATGAAGGGCCGATGTGCTGGGATGACAAGTTTGGAGATTTGCGGGTGATGCACGGGCCAAGACGACCAAAGGAGGAAAGAGAAGGGGGCTTGTCCCTGCTGCTTCGATCAACAGGCGTAGTGTACGGAGTACAAGTACGTACTGCGTACAAAAACGCAGGAGCGATGCTGATGGGGACCTGCCGCACCCTCAACGCATGTGTAACTCTTGTCCCATGCCGCCAAGCCCGAAAGAGACTAGTGGGAATGTGGGGGTGACCCCTGGGCCCTGACGCCCTCCGTTCCTCCCACCTGTCCTTCCGTCCTTTATTTTTTCTGTGCCTTCTGTTGCGGTGCGGTGACCGCTCTTACCTTACCTTACCGTGCTTGTCTCGTAGAGTGGTAGAGTGGGCAAGAGCTTAACCGGGGGAAGGCACGATGCATATTTTAGGTTGGAAAACGGAAAGGGTTCCCCGGATCATCTTTGAAGGGAGAAAAGAGAGTTAGGCGAGAGAGTCAGTCGATACCGTACGGAAGGAACCTTCAATCTGGCATGGAAGAGACGGTGAAGAGTGTTTGGACCTTTGAACTCAACTTTCGAAGGTGCCCTTGTGCCGTGGGTGCGTGATAGGTCAACTCCAGGGAAGCTTCGAGGGTGATGCTTTCTCATGAGGGTAGCTCTAATTATTCACGTAGCCAATGGCTTCCCGTCGTTGTGTTGCAAAGTTGCAATTCGCAGCAAAAGGGTAATGAGAACTATGTATCTGGCTTGGCCTCACATCATGGTTGAGCCTATTCAAAGCAACATTCCTATCGTCTTCCTTGCGAGATGGGGAAGCAATATCGAATATTCCCTGCTAGCCACATGCTGGGCAGCTGGGCAAAGACCCCCAGATAGAAAACAGCTCACCTTCAGTGGCCGGATCACTCTATAATTGCATCGGTAGTGCAGCGGCATGCAGCTGTAGCGCATCTCGGTAGCACGATGCCATCACATTGGAGTTTTTAATAGTGTCTTTTTTGCGGGTTGTCCTTGTGATGGTATTCAAGAATAGTTCCTCAATGCCCCATCGTTGTGCAACCAGCGAATCCTGTGTCACCAAAATCCAGCCACCGCAGCTCTCCCGTGAGGTGTGGTGTACGGAGGAAGGAGTGGTGCTCGCCTCACCTGGTGGTCGGCGACTTCCCTCAGCACCGTTAAGCGCCCAGCAACATGGGCCCGGCCGAAACGGGTCTGGCGTCCGTGTTCCAAAATTAAAATCAGCCAACCACCGGCCGCCGTTGCGTCTCCCGTCACCTTCCCATCTGTCCACTTTGAGATCCGTTCCTCTAGGCGGGCGGCAAGAAGGAGGCAGGTGGTGGCCAATTTGACCGTCAATCTGAGTTTCTGTGGTGCCCGACACAACGTCGCTGAGAGGAATTGGACAACGACCTCCCGACCGCAAATCATCATTCGTGCATACTGCTCCGTAGTCGTACAGCTGGCCAGGTAGCTAAAGTACCTTGCCAATGCCATGCCATGCTATCGAATGGCCCATCAGCGGAGAACCAGACGACAGGCCATCCAGCATGGAGAATGGGGGGATTGGATGGCGGATATGAGGACCTCGACTCGTCATCCTCGTTTGGTTGTTTTTCCTTTCTTCCCTTTGTTTTCCCATTCCCTCCATGATCCATCCACATTCCATCCTCCTCCCAGCAGTCTGGTAACCTATTGCCATTTTCGGTCTGAATGTCGTTGGTTCCAACAAACTTTCCAACAAGACAAAGCTAAGCGCAACCGCCATACCCAACTCTTGTTTAACAGACGCCAACCCGTACCGATCAAGAGAAACGACCCTTGTTCATCGCATTCACTGTGTAGCGTAGCGTAATAGCGCATACCCACACTTTGCATTCGAGCCGCATTGTCAAAGGGGAACAACACAGGCAACGCTGCACACAAAAGCGCAAGAGAAGGGGAAAACGGCCCCTCCCCTGTTGCAACCGAAACGTCAGAATAGCCTCGGGGCCCCCTCGTCAAAGCGCCTCTAACAGAAGTCGTCTCAACTCCGCCCACCACCTGTCGCACCTGGCCCTGCCGTCTGATCAGTCTCGCCTCTCGGATCGGACTGATACAGCTCCCTCCAACTGCGAAACCCCTCCAACGTCTGATCTACCGAATCGTCCAGTCCACCATCGTCAAACCCCTTGTCCCGTCCTCGACAGTCGACAGTTCGCCCCCCCGCCACCAAATCGCCCTTTTTTCATAATTCACATCGCTGCGCGGGACGAACACTAACACTGGTACCCTGTTCAACGGCTATTGACGAGGTTTCATGGACACCTGACATCCGAAAGATTAGTCCCGACATCATCACCCACCCCTCCATCCAATCCTGCACCAAACCGCACCATCGTCAAGCCCCCTCCACCACTTTTCGTCGCCGGATCCAAGTCTATCCATCCGACAGCACCAGGCTCCCCCGTTCATCCCGGGCATTTCTCTTTGCCAAAGAACCGATTCCCGCCCTGTGCAACCCCGGTCAATCGAACCTCACGCGGTGCCAAGTCCACAGACGCCATCGCTCGAACTTCGACTGCCGTCCCGACTCGCCTCATCTCTTTATGACTTTCCCCCCACCCGCCGAAAGCTTCGTCTCGTCTTCCTCCACCTCTTCTCCTTCACCCTCATTTCTCTCTTCTTCTTCTTCTTCGTTGAGTCTCGCTTAGGTCGAAGAGTCAAGAGTCAATTCCCGAGCCCTTGCGACCAACGAGATTCCTTCCTTTCCTTCGCTGCTGGCTCAGATCATTCTTTTTAACCTTTCCAACTTTGCTTGGCTGGAGTCTTTTATTTTCGCTTCTTTTGCTCGTCGACTGCACCACTTTAGGTATTATAAGAGACGTTTTTAATACGGGGACTGAGAAGTAAAGAGATTGGAAACAACAGACTTTGGCATCGATACGAACGTGGTTATTGGATTTGCTGGGATTATTTGCTACACCATCGCCCGACGCCCACACGAGCCACTACCGATACACCCAAGGCCCGACCCCAACCGCCAACTCGTCGGTATTGTCGCAGGTCGACACCCTAATACAGCTACGAATAGGAGGGCAATCGAAATCGAAGCAAAATGGCGGGTGACCTGACCTTCGGGGTTCTGGTCAAGAAGCAGTTTACTGCTCAGAAGTTGGCCTTCCACTTCCTCTTCTGGACCTTTCACTTTGGCATTTTCGCCTATGGATGGTAAGCCTCCATTCGCACGACGTATTCTGTCGACAACTAGACACTAACCCCTCTCTAGGTGGAAGCAGGCAATGGACGCGAGGCTGGCTGGTCTGAACACTTTGCAGTACTCGGTCTGGATTTCGAGAGGTGCTGGTTTGGTCCTTAGTGTCGATGGAATGCTTATCCTACTCCCGGTCTGCCGAACGGTCATGCGATGGATTCGACCTAAGCTTCGCTTCCTGCCTCTTGACGAGAACCTCTGGCTGCACAGACAATTGGCGTATTCCATGCTTGGTTTTACCATCTTGCACACTTCTGCGCATTACATCAAGTAGGTTCTAAACTCATACGGCACAGTACCCACTGACTGACATGTGCGCAGCTTCTTCAACGTCGAGAGAACTCAGATTCGTCCCGTCACGGCTATCCAGATTCACTACGCCCAGGCAGGTGGTGTTACCGGGCATGTCATGCTGCTGTGCATGCTTCTGATGTACACCACTGCACACGCTCGTATTCGCCAGCAGTCATTCGAGACGTTCTGGTACACCCACCACCTCTTCATCCCCTTTTTCTTGGGACTGTACACCCACACCACTGGCTGCTTCGTGCGCGATACCGCCTTGCCGTACTCTCCATTTGCCGGAAAGGATTACTGGGACCACTGCATCGGTTACCTCGGCTGGAGATGGGAGCTTTGGACTGGAGCTTTCTACCTCATGGAGCGTACCTACCGTGAGGTCCGCGCTCGCCGCCGCACCAAGATCACTCGTGTTGTTCGCCACCCTTACGGTTAGTCTTTGCTGTGCCACTCATACTACTCGTGATACTAAATGATTTTCAGACGTCGTTGAGCTGCAGTTCAATAAGCCCTCGTTCAAGTACAAGGCTGGCCAGTGGCTCTTCCTCCAAGTGCCTTCTCTTTCGAACTACCAATGGCACCCCTTCACTATTACCTCTTGCCCGTTCGATCCTTATGTCTCGGTCCACGTTCGCCAGGTCGGTGACTTCACTCGGGCTCTTGGTGACGCTGTTGGTGCTGGTTCCGCTCAGGCAAAGCTTTACGATGGCGTTGATCCCATGGGCATGTACGAGGTTGCTCTTCAGAACGGCCAGCAGATGCCTGATCTCCGCATTGATGGCCCGTACGGTGCTCCCGCCGAAGACGTTTTCGAAAACGAAATCGCTGTGCTCATCGGCACTGGTATTGGCGTTACTCCCTGGGCCTCCATTCTCAAGAACATCTGGCATTTGCGCAACAGCCCGAACCCGCCAACCCGTCTTCGCCGTGTCGAGTTCATCTGGGTCTGCAAGGACACTGGCTCTTTCGAGTGGTTCCAGACCCTACTGTCGTCACTTGAAGAGCAGTCCAATGAGGCAGCTCGCGTTCCTGGCAGCTCTGGCGTTGAGTTCCTGAAGATTCACACCTATCTTACTCAGAAGCTGGACATGGATACCACCCAGAACATTGTGCTCAACTCGGTTGGATCAGACCACGACCCTCTGACTGAGCTCAAGTCCCGCACGAACTTTGGTCGACCCAACTTCTCCAAGCTTTTCACAACCATGCGTGATGGTATTCTGGACAGAACATACCTCAACGGCTTGGAAGGCAGTATGCGCACGACTGTCGGTGTCTACTTTTGCGGTCCCTCAGTAGCTGGTAAGTATCATACTCTCATCTCTCTCAATACTCTTGCTAACGAATCATGTAGCTCGCGATATCAAGCAGGCTTGCAAGGATGCCGACGTCCGCGAAGTCAACTTCCGATTCTGGAAGGAGCACTTCTAAGCGTGGAGATGGCTGAGATAATGAAAAGTAAAAGTCAAAAAACGAGGAGCCTTGGCGAAAGCCTCGAGTTCTGTACGTGGAGGAGAGTCTCATACCAGGAGACGACGACATCTACAGCTACCAGAAGCTTCTCAGCAGTGGTACCGCGGGAAGCAGCGCTCCGAGAGGAGAGCTGGCCGAATAACGGCGAGCGGAAAGGCGTTGTCTGGAATGCATTAAGAAACCCCCTCAGCGATGTGCATCATCTCATTACTTTTTGCCGCCATCCGCGCCCTCACCTTATTATTTCTTATGATGGGCGGGGTTGGCAGGCGGTCAATGTTCTCTCATATATATACAAAGTCCATATATCACATTTTTTCAGCTATGGCAACTTGTTCTATTTTCCGGGTTCAAACTTTTTATCATGATCTGTAAGGAAAAAAGTGTTCATGTGGCCTAGGAATGGTAGATAGGATAAGTGATGACGATATCATTCGATCTTGCACAGCCACTGCCACTGACTGGTGCGAACCGCTGTCATAAGATGACGTGAACGCCGTTGGCAAGAAAAAGGTGCGATTACTGAGCGGTGACAACGTAGCAGGGGGCATGCTCGCAATGGGACGAGGATACAGATGGCATTAAGTAGCAGGGAAGAGCTAGGACGGAGAGATTCCATTCCAGCGAAGCTTCCCACCGGAGTGCGTCCGGTCCACGACTCGCCTCAGCGTTCACGGTGCCGGCTAAGCCGTACGCCGTCTTGTTGTTGTTGAGCGGGAGTCTAGACTCCTGGAGTCTTCGCTGGGCTGGTGCCGTTGAGTGATGTTTGCGTTGATGCATGAGCCTGATCGTGGTCTATGTGATCAAGTGAGAACTTGGGTCGCCCTCTCTGAGGATCGAGTGGAGACGCGTAAAGGGTAGGGGACTCGACCCAGGGGGGGGGAGAAGCTTGGGAGGGACGGAGGGACGGCAGCTTACCTTTTCCTGTGTTGTGGTAGGTGTGGTACGTGCAGGGCTTGGTGTGGACGGTTGTGGTTGCATTTCAAACCGTTGATGTTTTGAGTTTTTTTTCTCCCTCTTGGGCTGCTGGTGAGTGGTTGCGTGGCTTTGTTGTGGGACTGGACGACTAGCTACCTAGTGGAAAGTCCGACTTGTTGTCGGTGATAGTGTGTACCTTGCTGTTTATGTATGTGTGATGGTGGTGTGATATCGCAAGAGGTTCGAATGGTTGGGGTGCTGTCCTAATCTTGGGATGGATATGAGTGAAGTTCAATTGTACTTGGGCTGCTTTCGTCGCCTTTGGTCGTATGTTACGTCCCCCATGAGGTCACTTGCGTTGTAATCAGCTCCTGGTAGAGCGGGAATAGGGGGCTCATGAGAAGGTTTGGGAAATCTGGGGACGGCGGCTATGACGGGTTGAGACAGGATGTGACGGCACACTTTGGGTTGACGTTGACGTGTTTTCTTGACTGAAGCTCAGTCGTGGGCCGATGGGGTCGCCACCGGAAGGAGGTGGAGGGTTCGAGTGAGTCGCGTGGAAGGTTGGGTGCAGAGACTTGGCTGCGAGTTGAGGCGGGCGAGGTAGGCAGCGAGCGGAAGATGAGATGGATAGGATTAGAACTATTGCTGCCGCGAGTCGTTCGGGAGGATACGGTGGGGCGAGCGGACGGACGGGCGGAAGGACCGGGTGGACGTGAGGGTTATACGGATGGTGTCCGGGTTCAGGTGGAGTTCGGACGGGCTCCGTGTCGCTAGCCGTGTGCCTTACTCGTTCCTTTCCACTTTTGGTTTTTTGTTTATTACTTTCTTCCTTTGCCATGCTGTTGAGTAGTCAACGCCTCTTGGGTGAGAAGGCTCAGGATAAGTAAATGGCCTTTAGGGTTCGCTCTTGAGAGATACGGGTGGTTTCTATCATCCCATCGGCACAGAGTAGGTAGGCAGGTGGGCTCGTGCTAGTGCTCGTGCTCTCAAGATGTCTGCTTGGGACGGACGGATTTAGATCATGTAACCGTGCGAAGTCTTTCAGTCTCGGAATGTGGTTATGGAGAAAAGTTCGTCCCAAAATCGTGAGAAATTTGTTGGAAACAGCTTACGTGGTTGCGTTGGTTGGTATTTTTAGCCATTTTCCCGCTTTCATCTCGGACGGTCTGGTCTGCGTCGGCCAGGGGAGTAGCTTGCCCGATGATGAAATGAAGACTGAGTCTTGTTAAAATTTAGCGAAGGATGTAGATTGATATTTAATTTGTGTTTGTGGGAGATTGGGGCCGTGTGTGATGGTACGGACGACGCTTCGGGAGTGAGGTTATTATGCCTCCTGGCTGTGATTATGGTAAAATATGTTAATTCGATGGGGTTGTGTTTACAGCTCCGTGGGCGTAAAGGTGGTGACACCTACATTTGGACGACAATGAAATTGAGGCAAAGCTTGTTTTAAGAAAATGATATACCTTCTGGGAGATGGTAGGACTTCTTTGAGGAAGAAAGTTGTCTTGGTGTTCCATGTCCTTGTCTAAAGGCGGTCCTCCCAATTGACTTATTGAGCCCTGGCGGTGAAATCCATAACCTGGGCCGTATAGATCGTTTTGACTCCTGGACACAAAGACTTGATTCAAACGTAGAAATCATGAGGAGAGAGGGGAGAGAAAAGGAAGGGGGGGTGGTTAGTCACACCGAATGTTCCATGGGTTTTGACGAGGCTTCTTCTACCATGAATCTCACTTTCGTAAATCTTGCCGTGCCGATTGCCTCAACGCACAAGGGTAGACGACAATAATATGGCTTGGACCAAGTTGTTTCGTCTCTACAAAGGATCCATTGAGGTGAACAAGAACAAAGTGATTGATGGCCTGGCTGCTGAAGACTCTTCAGAGCCACATAGAGTCTTCTCTCTGATGTGACCCTGTCCCCAACATGAGGCCTATACGTTTTCCAATGTCTCCAAAGTAGTAAGGTGGAAGGGAGTAAGGCGACCGAGCTCAAGGTGTCCTGCCACCCCAGAAAGACTCCTTGTTTGGGGAGTAAGACTGAAGTCCAACGATGACTTTGGAATCTCAGGCTCTCAAGAGCCATATAGAGACTTGTCTTCTGCCGTGTTCTATCGCTCAAGCCAGACTATAACCTTTCTGATCTGCCTCGACGCACAAGTCTGGGAAGAGTTATGCCAACTCGGCTAAGGTCAAAAATGCCATTCTGACTTCTTAAACGTACTATGGAATGAGGGGAGTAAGAATAAGAAACATCGATAGGATGAGTGCCAAGTGTTCTTGAAAGTTCGAAAAGAGTCAGTGATGGAGAGGCCCACGTTGGTCATACTCAACTCCCGAAACGGGGACGGTGGGAGCAGCGGATGCTGGTGGACGTCGTGCGAATGAGCCAAGTGGATTAGATAGAGTATGTCTAAACCTTTGTCTCTTTTGCATCGTTCGACTTCCTCTCGCACGTATTTGTGGCGTCGATGTGTGGGATAGAGACTGGAGTTAGTGAACAGGGTATTGCATGCTGCCTTGGAATAGGTTAGATGGCTAAGGTTGAGAGGTAAGATATAAGGGCCGACTGCAACTAGTCACATACAGAATGAAGCCCCGAAAGACGAGCATAGACGCCTAGAACCAACTAGTGGTGCGGCCAGGCTAGAATTCCTGATTAAGACTGTTATGAGCCTACTTATGGTAATTAGTGATACATCTCTATCCTGGGGACTATAGCGAACACTTGCAATAGCGAGCTCTACTTAAACGTACCTGGATTTAATAAATTCGAGTCGAACGAAGCAGAACACATCGGAGTAATAAAGTACAACCGAGATGGGCTCGTGGTAGCTCAGCCACCGGCTCCTGTCGGAGGTCCCAATTCGAACCAGCAGGCACCGAGGCTGCCTTGGCACTATCGATGAAGGTACAAGCAAAAATCAACGTCCATACTACGTACCCTTACTTGGGCCGTGAATGTTCGTGGGGAATACGTTCGAGCCGAAGCGAGGTGACGCAAATGAGACTATAAAAGTTCTTTACTAAGCGGCTCTTATTAAGTCGCGATTATTCGTAATAAATACTTTTATATTAACTAATTACTTTTAACGACTTCCGTCCCTGTGGACGTATAAAACTGTGTCCTTAAGATATGCCCATATTTAAAGAACTATATCGCGTTTTCTGTATATAAGAGGGTGAGGAGACGAACTTATTATAAAAAGAAGAGGCCATACCTTAGTTAGTAATACGACGAACTGCGCTATATTTATTACGGCCAGCAAGGTTTCCGAATCTAGGTAGCACGTTCAAGCTAAAGCAAAGTCAAGTAAACAAGGTAGCAAGCGTCCTTAAGCAGCCTTAGTAAGTACCCCTCGTTAACGTCGTGGTTGTCAGTAACGAATACGTTCGAGCCAAAGCGTGGCAGAGCGAACGAGATGATGAGTGTTCTTAGACAGCTTTGATAACTGAAAGAGATGTTTGAGGTTAGCACCCTTGTCCCCTGGTCTCTTACCTTTGACGTCCTCTAAGACTGGCTCGGTTTGCAACCATTGCAAGTGGTCGCATGGGCTCCTGTTGTTATCATCTCTGAAGTGAATTGAACGCGTTTTATAGCTGGGGAAACGATTGCTATCAGCCATCTTATGAGTTGTAGATACTCGCTAGTCTCATCCTCTCACTAGCGACATTGGATGTCCTCCATCCGGCCTCTCGTCTAAAGCTTCCTCGCAAGACACCTCAACCTCACATAGCTAATCATCTCCCCATCCCCCGGAATCTTACAAACATGTCTCAACACCTCCACAATCTCCTTCACAGTCTCCTCCCTCTGTCCGCCTTCCTCCGGCACCGCATCCAACAGCTCCTTGCCCATCAACCTTACCCACCCTTCCACGCCGCCCTTATCAGCCGTCGTCGGCCTCCACTCCCGCTCAACTTTCAACACCTCCCACCCGCCGACCTCCTTCTCGAGCACCGTCTTCAACCACTCTTCGTCCGGAAAGAACCAGGGGTCTACGGCGGCGGCCTTCTCCATGCCCACGCGCCGCGCGACGGCCATGACGATGGCGGTGCGCATCTCGGCTACGTTGCCCAGCCCGCCCATTTCGAGGGCGAAGGTAGCGCCTGGGAGGAGAGCGTCGCGGATGGCGGTGAAGACGGGGATGTGGGAGCCTGGGGGGCGGAGGATCCAGTGGAGGGCTGCGTTGGAGAAGGCTTTTGTGAAGGTTGGGGTGTGTAGGGTTGGTGTTGAGGAGGTTGTGAATTTTGTTGCGTCGAGGACTGTATGGGTAATATGTTAGTCAACGTTCGAGTTGCTCCAGTATGTCTGGGCAGTATGATGAAGAGAGGAGGGAGTAAGTAGAGCTGTACCTTCGAATTCGCAGTTTGAGAGGCCAGCTGCTGACACGGCGTTTTTGGCGGCGGAGATCATGCCTGGGGAGGCGTCGATGCCGTGGAGGGAGCCTTTTCCTTGGGAGAGGACCTTACCGAACTCGACGTCGAGGACGCCGTCTATTTGATCATCAGTCTGATGTTCCATTACGCGGCCGTACTGGCATTGGGTCTGATGGATGGACGTCAAGTGGAAGGGACTTACCACCGCACCCGACGTCGAGGATGACATCGTCCTTTTGCACGTCGAGCCACTGCACCACCTTGGTCGCCAGCTTGGGGACGAAGGAGGCGGAGTGCTGGTAGGCCTGAACGTTTACGTTAGTCCCAGGTCGATTGAGGACGGTATGCTTGAGGCATTGATGGTGAGCAGGTAAGGGTTACCTCGGATGACCATTTATCCTCTTTTTGTTCAGCCATCGTTGATTTGCAAGATCGGTGTTGATGAGCTCCCCAAAAGCGTGTGTGCCTGAGATGAAACTGGTATCTGCGAGAGTGAGAAATGCTGGCTTATATAACTTTCGATGTCTCTATCGACTTACACGCAGTCTGAAGTTTAAGTGGGATGAGTGAAGTTGGGAGGATGCGACGACCGTCCGAGATCGGACCTGCTCGACGGTCGCACACTGCCCCGCATCTCCCTCCTACGACTAACCTTCACGGCACGGGGATCCGACGTTCAAGATTGCAGCTCACAAACATGACATGGAATTATATCCGGAATCCAATTTGGGGGCTCATGACTGGGTTCTGTCCAATGACCTGATTTACATTATACGTCGGTTGCGAAACCGGCGTAGGAAAATGACTTGTTCTTCTTGTCTTTAGTTGACACAATCATTAGCTACGATAACTTGTCTGCCTCATCACATTGGCTCCAATCTCACAAACTTAGTCAATGTCCAACAGCTTGTACTTTTCATCGCCCAAAGCATCCTCCACCCTCTGCATCAGTGACAGCACCTTCTCCTCCTCCAACCTCCTTCCTACAACCTGAACGCCGACGGGCAGGCCGTGCATGTCCTTGGCATCGTACAGCTTATACGCACCGTACGCCACGCCATTGAGCTTCTTAATGTTGAAGTCCGCGGGAAGCTGATCCAGGTCCTTGTCCACATGTGTCACGGGAAGAACGCCGGCGGTGTAGTCGAGCTAGATAGTTAATTAGCCACTCACAATCCCCCAAAAAGATGGAAAAGGAGCCACAGAAACTCACCAGGTTGAAGAGAAACGTGTATCCGCAGCTACTACACGCATCCTTCATCCCGTCATGCGGCACAGCAGGCGTAGCATTAGGCGGCGTGATCAAAAAGTCCACATCCGCCTTGTTCCACCACTCAAACCACTGGTTCCGGTACGCCTCCCGCCGCGCGACAAGCTTCCAGTTCTCAAACGCCGACTGCGGCCGCCAGTCTCGGACGAGGCCCGCCCAGATATCGTCGCGGCGAACGTACTTCACCCAGAGGTAGTAGAGATACCGCAAGGGACTGGCGAGGTTCATCAGGAACTTCATCTGCGCGGCGCCCGGGTCGTTCCACTCCCCCGTGCGGAAGAAGGTGCTGAACATCTGGCACCCGTCGGCGTTGAGCGCGAGGGCGGCGATCTTGAGACCCTCGTAGGGTGAGGGCGGGCTAATCTCGACGATCTCGTGGCCCTGCTTGCGCAGCGCATTCTCCACCATCTCCAGCGCGCGCCGGCATGCCGGGCTGGGGTCTACGACGCCGTCGGTGCGCATCACGCCGACGCGGAGCTTCTTCTTGTCGGACAGCCACGTCTTTTCCGTCTCGGAACGCCACGCCAGCGGGTGGACGCTGTAGTCGTACTCCCACGGCTTCATCCCCACCACAACGCGCGTGAAATACCGCAGGTCGTCGAGCGTCCTCGTCATGGGGCTGTACACGGAAGGCACGCCCTCCTGGCCCGGCATGCTCGTGCAGAAGCCCAGCTTCGGCCACCGGCCCGTGGAGCAGCGGAGGCTGTAGCACCCCGAAAAGTGCGCCGGCGCCCGCACGCTGCCCGCGACGTCGCTGCCGATGCCGATGCGTCCGCCCATGGCGAGGAGCGCGGACTCGCCGCCCGTGGAGCCGCCGGGTGAGTAGCGGCTGTTGTGCGGGTTCGTGCAGCGGCCCCAGACGTCGTTTGTGGACTCGAAGCTGAGAAGGGTGATGGGCAGGTTGGTCTTCACGTAGGGGACGGCGCCGGCGTCCTTGAGGAGGCGGACGACGGGCCCGTCGGCGGCCGTCTTGTTGCCCACGAAGCTGCTGAAGCCGACGGTGGTGTCGTAGCCGCCGACGACGATTGTGTCTTTGAGGCTGACGGGGATGCCGGCCAGCGGGCCCTTGAGGTTGACGGAGCCGTCGGCCACCCACTTCTCGGCGGACTCGAGCATGACCTCGGTGAGGCAGTTTGTGCGCTCGTGGGCCTTGAGGGCTACCTTACCGTAGGTTTTGAGAATGTCAATGGGTTGGAGGACGGTCTTGTGGACATCTTGGACGAGTTCCTCGATGGGTTTGTCCAAGATCTGGCGGTCTTGTTGTGAAAAGGGGCCTTTGTAGGCCGTGAGGCGGCGAATTCTGTCCGCGCGTTCGGATTGCTTGAAGTTGCTGTTTTCTTGGTGTTAGTTAAACCTCGGGGGTTTTGCGGTTCTAGGCACGGGTGGGATGACAGACCAGTCACGACGGTGTTGGAGATAGTCGAATGGATAGACCATCTTGTATGTTTGGAGCGTACTTAGTACTAGGTATGTGTTGCAAGGTTGTGACTACGACTGTGAGAGAAAGGTGAGGCTGGCTTTAACTCTATGAAAACCCACAATGTCGAGTGAGAAGAGTGTGGAGGTTTGTTGAAAGATGATGGATGCAAGATGAGAGCTTGGGACTTATCAAGGGAGAGGAGAGAAAGAGAAGAGCCCGGCGTTGGGGTCAAGGTACTTACACGCTCGGTCACGGGTAGCCGGCGGAGTCGCGGGGAAGCCCCGCTCCCCTTATCGGCCGCTGGGGTAAAAGGGCGTAAGGCGCGCTGTACAGACTCTAGAGCCTACTAAGGGTAGGGCACCTTAAGGTGAGGAGAGGTACCTCGCCTGCCACCTTATCTTTGGCCCGCTGATATCCGCCTGAAACTTCCCTGCTGGGCAAGTGAATGCGTCGGTGAGCCGGTGGACCACAACCAACAACACCAGGGCCTCCCCGCATGTTGGGTCCAAGGTGAGCCGAGACGCAGTCCAGCTGCGGTTGCATGTTTCATTATCAAATCGATTCCTCTTCCGTGGGTTCGTGGTATTTAGAGGTCCATGTGTCCCACGGGTTTCCGCAGGTATGTAAAAGAGTGGTGGTGCTTGTGGCTTACCCCGGGGTTTACGCCATGACTGTCAGGTCATTTAAGGCAAGCGTGCCTGGTATTAGTGGCATGAGCTACGTTGAATGTAAGATGAATTCATCTCAGGTGCGAAAGAAGAACTTTCCATGATCATTTTTTGTTCCCGAATGTCCAGATGCCGCTGCTAAATGTACTTCTGCTAACTCCAAGACCGCCGCTTTACAAAACCGGTCTTCTCTCGTTCCTGTAGTGATCCGCAATCAAGAACGCCAACTCGAGCGCCTGCTTCTCATTGAGTCTCGGGTCGCAGAAACTCGTGTAGTTGGTCGACAAATCATCCTCGTCCAGCCCTTCGCTACCACCCAGACATTCCGTCACGGCATCACCAGTGAGCTCGAGGTGGACGCCGCCGAGGTAACTCTTCTGCTCCTTGTGGATGCGCAGCGTCTCCTGCAGCTCCTCAAAGATGTCGCGGAAGCGCCGCGTCTTGATGCCGCCGCCCGTCGAGACCGTGTTGCCGTGCATGGGGTCACACTGCCAGACCACGCAGCGGTGGTACTCGCTGTCCTCGACGGCGCGGATGTGCGCCGGCAGCAGCGAGCGCACTTTCGAGGCGCCGTACCGCGTGATGAGGGTGATCTTGCCGGGCTCCTTGTCCGGGTTGAGGGCGCGCAGCAGGGCGAGGAGGTCGTCCACGGGCGTGGTGGGTCCGACTTTGATGCCGATCGGGTTGGCGATGCCGCGGAAGAACTCGACGTGGGCGCCGTCGATCTGCCGGGTGCGGTCGCCGATCCAGAGGAAATGGGCCGAGGTGTCGTAGTACTCCTTCTTAGTCTCGGTGGGGCCGCTGCTGCTGTCGTTCCGGGGGCCGTTGCCGTTTGCTGTGGGACGCGGGACGGGCGTCTCCAGGAGGCGGGTCAGCGGCTGCTCGTACTCGAGGAGGAGGCCCTCGTGGCTGGTGAAGAGGTCGACCGTGTCCAGCTTGTCGCTTCGGTCGGCGCCGATGGTGTGGAGGAAGCGGAGCATGTCTGTGAGGGAGAGGACGGCCTCGGAGTACTTCCTCTTGAGCTCCGGGTCCCGGACATGGCCCAGGCCCCAGTCCAGTGGCTTGTGGAGATCGGCGATGCCTGATGAGAGGCATGCTCTGATGTAGTTGAGGGTTGCCGAAGAATACTGGTAGGCCCTTTGGTGTTGGTTAGCTCTGGTGGTGACACATGATTTGTCTTCATTGCATGACTCACTTCACGAGTCTCTGCGGGTCAATTTCACGCTCATCAACGTGGAAGCCGTTGAGAATGTCGCCGCGGAATGAAGGCATCTCCACACCGTCAACCAGTTCTGTAGGGCTCGATCTGGGCTTGGCATACTGGCCAGCCATACGGCCAATGCGCACCACGCGCTTGTCGGCACCCCAGACGAGAACCAGACTCATCTGCAGCAGCAGCTTGATCTTTGACTCGATTGCATTGGGCTCGCAGTAGTCGAACAGCTCCGCACAGTCACCGCCCTGGAGCAGGAAAGCCTCGCCGAGTGCCACATCACGGAGGTGCTGCTTGAGTGCGACAATCTCCTTTGGGTGGACAATGGGGGGTAGCCGTCCCAATTCTTTGACGGACTTTTTCAAGCCGGCTTCGTCTGGGTAGGCGGGAGCCTGCTTGATGGGTTTTGAGCGCCAGGAGTCGGGCGACCATTCTGCGGAGGAAGACATGGTGTGATGTGTTGTGTTGGTGATTGTGTTGGTGACTCAAGATGGAGTTGTGGACAGTCAAGTGGTGCCGGGCTGGTTTGTCGCCAAAACTGACGTAGAGGGAAGCTGGAGAAATAGTAGGTAAGTCAACTTGGGGAAGAATTCGCACCGGCTTTCAAAATGATTCAACTTGAAAGTCATGACAAGAGGGCAAGAGTCCTGGCATATGTACCTTGGTGAGTCAACAGCAAACTGGATGACTGGTTCAAAGGCGCATGGTACAGTAAGTGATCGAATCTGGATACTCCGCTGTACCTACCTTACTAGGAAGTGAATTGGACCGGTGAGTGGGATGAATGCGAGCAGAAAAATCCTTAATAACGGGCAAGGGCCTGTTCACCTGCAACGGTGTGCTTGCTTTGCTTGAAATTGACCAATGGAAACGAGAGGGACGGAACCGAAGAGAGCAAAGCAAATTCAGGAACCAGACCATCCGTCAAACCCTGCGTGTTTGTGTGTCGAGTTTGTGGTGTGCGTCGCCGTCTGGTGCTAAACCTGAGAATTAAAGTTGTACATTGTCCTCCTCCAGGGCAACGCTATGCCGAGGCGTACCGACCTACCTCGAACGCTCACCATCGGTGTAAGCGGCACGCCGCACACCTCCCCTCACCTGCGGAAAGGAGTGGGAAGGTAAGGTACGTACCATAAGGTAGCTCCCCCTCCCCGCCCCCACCTAAACCTGCCCCACCACAAATTCGATTCCAACGGGAAAGAGCTGTCTCTGCGCCGCCGCGTGGTGCCCGACTGTCCACACAACGTCACAGCTCTTCAACCACACGATCATAGTCTCGCCCCTCGAATCCTGATCCAAAGGCCCCCGAATCGACCGAACATCCAATCGCCGGTATAATCCCTTGCACAAAATGTCTGAGAAGCAGCCCCCCACCGTCGTCGAGGGTGCCACCGCCGGCGATGTCGAGGAGGAGGTCCAGCCCGCAAAGTCAGCCGAGGACCGCAAGGCAGCGTCCGCCCTCGCCAGCCTCGATGCCGGCGGCGACGATTCGGGAAGCGGTCAGGTCGATGTCGATGCCGCCCAGAAGGCGATCAAGGGTCTTGGTGGCGCCACCGCTGCCAAGAAGGAGGTGAAGAACGTTAAGGTCGATGCCGCCGATGTTGCCCTGCTGGTTAGTCAACCTACCTACCTGATACGCGCGATGGAAGACGGTCGAGAGATGGGAGCCCCCATCATGAGAGGATGTTGAGACTTGACGAAAGTTGGGAATGAGACAAAGGAATACAAGCTGACAAGGACATAGGTTGACGAATTGGAGCTCACCAAGCCCAAGGCGACGGAGCTGCTCAAGGCCAACGACGGAGACGCTGTCAAGGCGATGAAAGCGTACTTGCGCTCATGAACGATTGAGGCGGCCGATGGCTGGCATGGTTATAGACTTCGGAGTAAAAGTTTTAGGTTATGTTTGTTGAGGCCCAGGATTACACATGTTATTCAATGGTTCGTCTCTGTCCGCTTTTCGACACAATTCCCTACTACGGCAAGGCTAACTTTTATGGTCTTTAGATCAGATGACCAAAGTCTCAAGCTTCAAATAGAATTGGACGCCCTTCCTCCCAAGTGGACTGCATGGGACATCCCTCGTTTCTACCAAGACTGCGTGCTCAGCGTGATTCGACTTGAACCAGACTACGCCCTTGACGGCTTTAACACCTCGATGAACGTCGGCTTCTTGCCGTCACTGACATTGATACACAAAGCTGAACCATGAACAGCACTCACATTGACTCACTGATGACACGAAATCTAGTCTCCCCTCGTCCTGGGCATGATATCCTCCATCTTGACGCACTTCGGCTCCCACAAATCCGTCTCATCGCCCATCCATATCGGACTCCGCCCCGGCATCCCACGCCCAGGCGGCCCGGTATGGTTCCCGCCGTACCCAGGTCCCCGACCCCGATACGGCGGCGGCGGCGGCCGACCATATCCAGGCTCCGTCCCGTTCCCTGGTCCACCCTCCGGCGGTGGCCTCGGTCTCCTGCCACCCCACATGGACCTCAACAACGGCCACATGGGGATATAGCACCGCTCATCCCACCCGCAAACATCCCGACACCGGATGAACTCCCCTTCCCAACCGACCCACGCCCGGAGTCGCCTCACCCCATCCGCCCACTCGCCGCTCGCAGCCTTCAGCTCCGACGTCTCGACTCGCTCGAGATCATACCACGCCCTCTCGATACCGAAACCAACTTCAAGCAACACCCCGCAGATCCCACCCATGACCTCCTCCACGGCGCCCCTCAGATCCCGCTCCCTCACGCTCAGCGGTAGATCAACCATCAACCTCGTATACCGGTACCGACACCGCGAATACGTCTCCGCAAACAGCGCGCCCTGGACATCCCACGTCTGCCGATCAATCTCGCGCGGGTACTCCAGAAACGAGACGAGGAACATGTGGCTCTGCCCACGCAACTTGTATAACCACTCTCTCACCGCCGTCACATTGCTCCAGTCACTGCCATCGCCGCCGAACCTTGCACCCTCCTCCATGACCATCAAATGCCCAGCCGTCCGCTGCACAATCTCCCCCATGGAACTCACCCACTCCATCCCACTACACCCCCCCTCGCCCACAAGCGCGTCCCTCAACATCACCTCCGTCTCCCACCTCATCCCCGCCGCCGCCTCCGCCGTCACATTCTCCAAATGATGCATCCTCCTCCGCCTCCCAAGCTTCGCCAACGCCTCACTCCGGTTGCCAACACTCTTTCTATCACTCCAATACCCTTCCGCAGTAAGATTCAACCTCGCCCGTTCCTCCTCCGCAACGGACCCCCAGAACCGATCCGCGTACCAGCTCGTGATCCCGCACCCCAGCACCCGCGCCCGCGTCTCCCCTTTACCCTGTCCGAGGCCGTTGGATCCGTAGTGCCACGTCGCCGAGGCGAACCATCCCCACCCTTGCGTCTGCAGGAACGGCTCCCGCTCGGCGGGACCCATGATTCCACGCCAGTTGGGCGGCATCGGTGGACGGGAAGGGCTCACGGGGCGGTCTGTTAGCGTAGGCTGGGGCGGGAGCGGATACACCGACGTCGGAACCCCTTCTTCTCCATGCAACCTCTCACCAGCCTTCTTCATGGATCCCTCAACCTCATCCCTCTCCGTCCTCTTCTCCCCATCATCATCGTCGTCCTCCTTCCTCAACTGCGGCGCAGTAACATTCCCCCTCCCAACCAACCTCAAACTCCCACCGCCCCCAAAATCACACCAAATCATCTCGAACCCCGTATTCATCCTCACAACCCCCTCAAACCCCCACCCGGGCCCCCGTAGCCCCTTCTCCAGCAACCAGTCGCAGAGCCCCATGGCCCTCTCGTACTCGGGCTCCAACCCGCGCCACGGACCTCCTCCATTACTCTCCGGGCCGGACACGTTGCCGTATAAATGCAGCATCTGGGTGTCGAGTTGTCCCAGCCCCATCAGCGCCGCGGACTCGCCGTCAAAGTAGAGCGCTTTCACGGGCCGCGTGGTTTGGTACGTGAGCATGAAGCTCTGGCGTGTGCTGCCCATGATGCCATAGGCCATTTCTCTGCAAGGATCCTCCCGTGTTAGCTCGCCGAGCCCAGGTTAAGGAGGTTACCTTCGCCCATGAGACTCTCATCATGACCACGCGAACACACTACACACCAATCCACATCACTCAAAATCACCACCCCCATGAGAGTCCACGCACGGACATGGGGAAAAGTGCTGCCGACAAAAAAAGAAAAAAATCTCACATATCAAAAGCAAGCCACTCCGGACTCGGCACATCCTCCTCGTCCATCCGCCCGTGATAAAACAGCGTAAACGCGGGAACCTCCACCGCCGCCATCGCGTGCCCGTTGGGGAACACGGTGTTGCTCCACTGCTGGAGCAGACCGTACGCCGAAGCGAACAGGTGCGGCGCCGGTGACGAGTAGTTCAGTCTGGCATACCATGACGATGGGCCACCATCATCGCTGCTCTCGGGCGATGAAGAGCCGGGTCCGTCTTGCGATGTCGGGTATGATGACGATGATACGCCCACGGGTTTCTGTACCTCATCGGCCGCGAAGGCGTCGGCGGCGGCGACGTACTGAGCCGCGAGCAGCGACGCCGTCAAGGCTCGCAGTGACCGCATCTTCTTCAGAGTAGATTCTGTAGAGTGCAAATAGAGATTTATGAGCAATCACAACAAAGAAAAAGAAGCAAAAAAGTCTAGACTATCATCTTCGCCACAATCCAAATGGGTATCAAAGCTCAGAGTCTCATGTGTGTCGGATGGATCTTCCTTATCAATCAATCAATGCCACCCTCGAGTCAAGTCAAGCGTGTGGTCTCTAGGACGTGGGACGTCGGGACTTTGGTTGGCCCAATCAAAAGAACGCGCGGCCAACATGCGTCACCTTGCCAGATACGGACAAGGGTCAGGGGACTTGAGATATCCTCTACTGCAAACAAGCATCACGTCAAGCTTGCCAGCGGGAGGGGATTTTAAATCTGAAATGAAAGACGAACAATCAAAGAGTCCTTTCAAATTGTGTTCCAAAGACAATCAACGCTGCCCTCGCAGCGCAGCGTATGTTCTGATGTACAACCAATCTAATAACCTAAACACCTTGATCCAGTCCCTTGGGAATCCGTATCCCATATCCGGTGTCAACGCCGTCTAAAACCAATCCCGTCGCATCTGGGCCGAGGCCTGAGTGGACAAAGAACCACAAACCAATTGCAAAATAATCAACATCTAGCGCCAGGCCTTGGCCAAGGGGCTTCCAATCTTGGGCGCAAACTGCAAGCTCTTTCTGCGAGCCGCCATCAGGCGCTGCATGACGCTCTCGTCCTTGTCTCTGTTGAGAATGCCCTCGCCCATCTGGACAAAGGTATTCTGCTTAGGAGGGCAGGTCTGCATGTGCAGGGTCTTGGTGGGAGAAGAGTCATACTCAGTCATCCCCGAAGGCGTCTCTGCAGCATACCGAGCAAGAGCCTCAGGCGCAGGCGTGACGGGAACCGGAGAGATCAGGCCCTGCCAGTCATCGTCGTCGTCCTCAGCCTCGTCTGAAGGGGTGTGCATCCACACCGTGCTATCACGTCGGTTCATGGGCGTGTTGGGCGCAGTTTTGGCATCGCGACCAGCCTTGACGGGCGTGGGGACAAGCATGCCGTCCTGGTTGGCGAGCGCTGTGGGCTCCATGCTCTTGCGACGGCGCGCGCCTCCGCGGGGAACCATGGAGGTGTCGATGTAGTATGGCGCCTCCTCGAGCCACTCGTTCTCACGCTCACAGCTGTGTCGATGGGTTAGCCAGACACCATTCAAAAGGACTTAGAAGACACTTACTCAAGAACCCAGCTCACGCCGACACACTGCACAACACCATTGGACTCTCTGACCTTCTCCATAGTGCGCTTGCCGCCATCCTTGTAGACGACGTGGGTGATGCCAATCTTTGAGGCATCCGAGTTGCCAGCAGCACTTGGGTTCCAGTTCCAGGTCTTGACGCATCGCGCTCC